AGAATTCCAAACTTGATACCAACATACTCAAGAACTATCGGCCCGTTTCAAACTTGACTTTTCTTTTAAAACTTGTGGAGAAAGCTGTTACCAGACAACTGATGAAGCACATCAAAACTCCATGACATCCTTGATGACTATCAGTCTGCTTATCGTCCGCAGCATTCAACAGAGACCTTGCTCCTGAGAGTTGTTAATGATCTCAGGTGTCTAGTGGATTCTGGTGACATGGCAACGATGACTCATTTAGATCTCAGTGCAGCGTTTAATACGGTTGATCATTACAGGCTTCTGGATATTTTACAGCATCAAGTTGGTATCGGTGGAACAGTGCTGTCTTGGCTTGCATCTTATTTCCATGTCAGGCGGCAATATGTATATGTCTTGGGATAGTTTTCGGATAAGACAGTGCTCTCGTGTGGAGTCCCACAAGGTTCAGTGTTGGGACCTGTGTTGTTTCTCTTATACGTAAACTGTCTCAAAACCATAACTGACAAGTTTGGGACTCCTCATTTTGCATATGCAGATGATGTTCAACTGATAAATATATTTAACACTGAATCAATTTCTGACACCCTACAACAAATTGAAAACTGTACTTCTGAAATTATGTCATGGATGACCGAAAGAAACCTAAAGTTAAATGACGACAAAACAGAGGTATTATTGGTCGGAAGACAACAGCACATCGAAAAAGGTAGATGTCGAGCGAGTGATGATTGCTTCTGCCTGTATCTCCCCATCACGACAAGTTAAAGATCTTGGAGTACAGCTACAGTTGGACCTTTCCATGTCTGCACAAGTGGATCATCTGTGTGAGACATGCTACTTTCACACTCGTTCCATTGGTACCATCCGAAAATACATCACTAAAGAGAGTGTACATATCCTGGTCATAAGTCGTGTGTCTTCCCGCCTAGACTACTGCAATAGCCTTCTCACTGGAATATCCAAAGAAGACATGAAAAAACTCCAGAAAGTGCAGAATACAGCCGCTAGAATTATATCTTTGAGTTCTAAATATGATCATATAACCCCTGTGATAAAATCTTTGCACTGGCTTCCTGTTCAATACCGAGTTGACTTCAAAGTTCTGTGTACATTCTTTAAGTGGCTCAACAACCTTGCCCCTACATATCTCTCATCTCTCCTAACCCAGCATGTGTCTTCCAGAACTCTACGTTCCCAGGATAAACAGCTCCTCACAGTACCTCAAGCTCGGCTCACCTCTTTTGGAAAGAGGAGTTTTCAGCATGTCGTGCCTCTCTTATGGAACTCTATACCACTCCAAATCAAACTCGCCCCGACCCTGGACTCTTTTAAGAAGGACCTAAAGACATTTTCCCTTCTTTTGTAAACAGTTTTAATGTGCCATGAGCATGCATGAATGGGTGGACACTGGCGCTTTACAAATATCCACTATTATTATTATCATTAAGAAGTGATTCACATGGACAATTACACACAAACAAGTAAATATTATGCCGCGCTGATATTGTCTCTAGACATCTCTCTAACGTTACAAAATGACTGTCCAAGTATTAAACAAATTGAATAAGAATTATTAAGAAAATCAAAAGTGATTTTAATCATCACAAAATAATCATTAAACTAGAATTAGAAGAAAAAGTGGTTAAGTGGTTAAAGCGTTCGCTCGTTACGCCAAGGGACATTTTCTCTTGTTGGAATATTGCTAAAAAGCGCTGTAAAGTTAAACTCACTCACTCACTCGCTCAATATAGTTTTAAAGTTTACATAGTAAATTGTTAACATGATGACACTGAAAGCAACCATACGACATTAGAGACATCACGCAGCCCAACTTGCAAGACAGGCTTCAAGAAACCGTCAGTTTGGACAGGACTTTCGCCAAGGCAGTGAGACACCGGAACAAAGTCAGTTTAGTTGTTGACAAGCCGACGACGTCGACACCAGCACCCACACATACACCCACAACAAGAAGCGCTCCTACAATGTCATCACAAAAGGAAATCGGCCGGCTCTGTAACCAATTACAAACACCTGTTGATGACACGGATGACCAACACACGCCTCGTGATGACACAAATCGTAGTGACTTCTACGATAACATCTCTTTTGTTCCCTTTACATTCCTTTCATGGAATATCGATGGCCTAAAGGGCAAGTTACAAGACTCAGATTTCTTAGCAACAAAAAAAACGTTAGTTTGAAATTTTTCTTCCCAGAAACGGACGACTGTGAAGTCATTTAATGTTTTGATTGTATATTTTTGACAACATCTCGAACTTAAAATGAGCAAAGACATTCCTTCCAAAACTCAGAATTAAACCCAGGAAATGGTCTCAAAAACGCAACCTGATCTCTGAGATGGAATGGTGTTCTCCACGCAACTCATGCTGCACGTGTTGTTCACAAGGACTAGCCATATAAAATGCATCCCAAACCTGTTTGAAGCTCAGAGGAACAAGGCTAGGAAGGCTTGAAGCTGGCCACACTGCAGGTCAACGTTCGGGCCATCTATAGGCTGCAGCAACGGGTCCACCAACACCACAAATGATCGCCCTCGTACTGGCACACCGAGGGTGACCACAAGACAACAAGGCCGCCATGTTGTGCGACAGCATGTACAGAATCCCTTCATGCAGGCATCCGAAACAGCACGCCAGACGGTGGGAACACACCGAAGACCATTCAGTACTCAAACAGTACGCCGACGTCTTAACAGCGGGAACCTCCATTGCCGTAGACCTTACCGTGGACCTATCCTCACCCCTCGTCATCGACGTGAACGTCTACAGTCTGCCCTACAACACCAAAACTGGCGATACAGGCAATGGAGCACTGTTCTGTTTAGAGATGAGAGTCGATACTGCGTATCAACTGCAGATGGCAAAACAAGAACATGGCGACGACGTGGCCAGCGTTACTCAGACCAATGTGTCATGGAAAGAGACTCATGGGGAGGTGCAAACATCATGGTATGGGGTGGAATAGGCCTGAACCAGAGAGTGGGTCCTGTGGTGTTCCAGAACCTTGGTCCAGGGAGAGGCGGCGGCATCACAGCGGTGCGCTACATCAACCAAGCTCTCAGACCCCACGTCATACCACATTTCGCACGTCACCGGAACAACATTTTCCAACATAATACCGCCCGGGCCCATACTGCCAGAGCTACACGGGACTTCCTACAGCAGAACGGTGTCAACATTATGCAGTGGCCAGCCCTTAGTCCTGATTAAACCCAACTGAACATAATGTTAATGCTAACATTAAGGTTCAAGTTAGGTTTGGACAGTGAAGCAGTGTTCAGAAACGCGAATGACCACCTTGAGCACAAATGCAAGCTTCTACGCGTCTTTGCATTGACCAAAATAGCCTTTAAAGTTGCTGTTGTGGAATGTCGCTATCGAGATTGATAAAGATATTACACTGAAAATACTTGTTTTGTGAGGAGTATATCTGAAGGTTGCAATCTAATGCATACTATATCAACACACGCCCGTTTTCCAAGGACACTCCTGAATTTATGATGTTTTACATACATTTGTGTGTTTGTGTGTGTGTATGCGTGTGTGTATGTGTGTGTGTGTGTGTCTCTGTCTGTGTGTGCGTGTGTGTGTGTTTGTTTTGTGTGTTTCCGTGCGTGCGTGCGTGTGTGTGTGTGTGTGCGCGTGTGCTCTGTTGTTTTGTTATTTTGTCAGTGTACGGGAATCTACTCGCAGAGTGTTTGTCATGTACACACTGTTACGCTCGTTGTTAGAGTGTTCAGATCATATCACAACTGAAGCCAAAATCTCATCGTGTTCACATTCCCAACACCAAGTAGTAACTGTTTTGGTCGAAGCTCCATTGCCGACCTGGACTCACCAGATCCAGCATGCCCAACTACAGCCTCCTCCTCAAAATTTCTACCGTCTGTCCACACAACAGAGCTGACGACTACTCATGCATGTAGATTGCAACGTTGATGACGTCATCCCCAGTCAGCGTCCTTGCCTATGACATGGAGTCAGTGATGTGTGTGTTGAACATGCAATCCACTTCACAATGCGCAGGTACGTAAGTTCGGAAACATTTCAAGTAAATTTCAACTTACCAGATTCTTTAAACGTAGTATTTTTGTGATTTTAATTTATGGCTAAATTCGACTACAATCGCCAGTGGCGGAAGGGATGATATAAATCCAGCTGGGGTCCATGCAGGTAGCAAAGGTACTGTAAGTTCCCATGGTCCATAGTATGGTGATCTACCTTCAGTTGTTGGCGACCAATAGCCCATCTTTACATTGTAGGGGCGGTGCGGTAGCCTAATGGTTAAAGCGTTGGCTGGTCACGCCGAAGACCCGGGTTCGAATCCCCACATGGGTACAATGTGTGAAGCCCATTTCTGGTGTCCCCCGCCGTGATGTTGCTGGAATATTGGTAAAAGCGGCGTAAAACCAAACTCAGTCAGTCAGTCTTTACATTGCATTGTCCAAAAACAGTTTTCTACTCTTAAAGATATATGCTAGCTAATTTTAATTCATTTTGTGATAAGCTAGTAATTTAACCGTCCTTCGTTGACAAGGTTATATATATCATATGTATGTATTGTTAGTCATGATATGGCTGAAATATTGCCGATGTGACTTTAAATCTCAACTCACTCACTCACTCACCATGTGCAGCAACAATCTAAACACCAGGAATCTTGTTTAACTGTAAATTAAAGCAGCCTGTAGGTGTAAGGTTAAGAATGACACTTGGCTGTGTTCTGATCACACCACTACTGAAGAGATATTTATGGCACTATGTCAATTGATTGTTCATGTTCTCGATGCTGGGTAGTTTAGAATTACCATGTCAATACGTTTTCCTTCCTCACAAAATGCATTGGACGCAAAATCGCATCATGATATCGATCACCTATGAGTCAATAATCAAGAAGTGGAACACACCCTGAAAACTGTTAGTTTTGTCAGCCCTAACTACAACTGACATCTGGGTCCTTTCTCCACAGTTGAAAAAAAACTAAAACAATATGATATAATACTCTATGATGTAAATTGGAAAAACGAGCTGTAATCGTCACCGTGGAAATAGTTCACTGTGACAACAAAGTTGCTGTGGTCATTAGGTTCTTGTGTGCTCTGGAATGTCCGTACAAGCAAATTGATGACGTTTAAGAGGGACATTAGGTTTCCATTGAATAATAACTTATAAGTACAAATTGCCTTGGACAACAGCAAACCTGCTTGGGCAACGTAACACAATATTATCTCACTCACAGTTGCACATCGTTTTACAAATGCCAGTTTGCAGTGAAAATGTTTATTCATTTCTTCAGGATACAGTGTCAATTTTTTCTCATCAGTGCAACAAACTGAAAATGTTTTCAACATTTATTTGTATTTTATCTAAATCATTTTAAACGTTTACTTTTTAAAACGTATAGTACAGTGGGTTCTTTTATTGGACTTAACAGTCTTGGTGAGACTGGAGATTTGTCTACTGTCTACCGTGTATGTTATAACTGTTCAAACAAATTCCATACACTTACAAATGTGAATAAATTTGACATCTGACAAACGTAATGACAGTGATACATTTTGATACATATCAGTTGTAAGATATTCCAACCATCACAACTCACTCACCCACTCACCTACTCACCCATTCACTCACCCACTAACCCATTCATCCACTCACTCACTCACCAATTCACTCACTCACTCACCCACCCACCTACCCACCCACACACTCACTCACTCACTCACCCACTCAACTACTAACCCACTCACTAACTCACCCACTAAACCCATTCATCCACTCACTCACTCACCCACTCACTCACTCGCCCACCCACTCACTCACCAACCCCCCTACCCACCAACCTACCCACCCTCCTACTCACTCACACACTCCCCCACTCACTAATTCACCCACTAACCATTCACCCACTCACTAACGCACTCACTCACTTACTCACCCACCCACCCAAACACCCTGCCACCTACCCACCCATCTACCCACCCACTCACTCACTCACTCACTCACTCACTCACTCACTCACCCACAACTATGCGGGCAACCTCGGAGGTTGAAACTGTGAATAAATTTGACATCTGACAACAGTAATGACAGTGATACATTTTGATACATATCAGTTGTAAGATATTCCAACCATCACAACTCACTCACCCACTCACCTACTCACCCACTCACCCACTAACCCATTCACCCACTCACTCACTCACTCACCCACCCACCCACCCACCCATCTACCTACTCACATCTTGAGATATTGAGGTAATAACGCTTATGTGTTTGGGGATAATCAGTTTTAGAAATAAATCCATGCATAAATCGGCCATGGCTCGCTCAACACAATGTTTGTTTGTTTGTTTTGTTGGGGGTTGTTTTGTTTTGTTTTTTTCGGGGGGAGGGGTTCTGATACAGGACATTAATCATCTCAAAATACACAACGTGATATCATCTAATCATCGTGGAGATGTATATGATATAAAACTTTGTGGTTAGATTCTCCGGAAAACGCTAACACCTCTTAGATTAACAGTGTTAATAAAGGAAGGCGAGGAACATTAGCATTCAAACACATGACATGAATGAACAAGTTACACGTGTGAATACGAATCATATTCAGATGAGAGGCCGTATCTTCATGGATGAAGATTTTATGCCTGAAATTCCCTGCCAGTATATTTGATTGCTGTACAAACAATTGAGGTCTGCTTCGACGCAGTTTTTGTACCACCACGCCCCTCTATACTTGTCTGCACAGTTAAAGCTAGCCGTATCCAGATCCAGATTCCGTGCGGAGAATCGGGTGTTGTTGCTGTACAACATTTTGTCTCCTGAAAATAACCGAAGACTAAGTCGTAGTATTTTGTACGAACTGTGGAAACGTTGTTAACTGGAACGGTCATAGTGGTGTCTTGGTTTATAGTGCATTTTAGATAGCTGTTGAAAAAAACAACATATATATCAGGAAGAAATAAGGAAGAGTTTGACTATGTGGAACTTATGCACTTCCCTTAATGCATAATCACTAACATACCTATACAATGCAATATCTAGCCAGAGGCAATTCTTTACTTTAGCTTGTACCACATCTTGCCATGTGTTTAAACTAAACAAGTGACTTTCATGTACATGTATCTGTGACGGTGGTCATCAGCAGAGAGGGATATATTCAACGATTGACAAACAGTTGTTACCATCACCAGGTAATGACCCAATTTAGGAGTGAATCGCACTCTGGTATTTTCCTATTATAAAACAATCGGACGGGGACTATAGTATATTTGAGGTTTCGTGAATATTAACCTTTACTTCAAACATTAAAATACAGTTGCCTAAACTGTTTGATATGCTCACCAGCTGTTCCTGAGTAGTTCCCTATGAACAGGGTGTAGAACTCCGACATGCTGCCCAGATGGAAACTCTTGTACTCGGCATCGAAGTGACTATCCGATTTGGTCACCAGGTTGATCCGAAGTTCATAGGTTTTCTGACTCGTGAGTCTATGTATCTTCTCATTTCCTGAAATATTACCATAGCGTACATTCTCCCAAAGTTCCTGAGACTCCAATCACACACTGTATGAGATCAAAACTCAACCCTTATTCATAATAAAGTGACATGCCCGTGTCCATGAGGCGAGTGAACGAGTACTACAAAACACTGTGCATGGCCAGAATTACACTAACACCAGAGTAGTCTCGCTTACATTCATCAATTGTTCCATGTGGGGAATCCAGTCCATGTGTACAACGTGACGACGAAACAGGTCTGGTTGTTCACATCCCTGTATCATTCGTGACAAATACTCAACATTTGAACAACAGAATGAGTAAGATGTCACGGATATAGGAAATAATTATGGTTCTGAAGAAGAATTGATATTTGTACGCACCAAGCCAGAATTCGTGGGTGAGGTTTCCAAATCCGTCCATGTATTCAAACCAAGTTCGATAGAAATCTTCTGACCCGTCAAGTCGCCTTTGAAACACCTGTTCATTGAAAATCAATGTCACATTATGCTAATATTGAGATGTATGACATATTAACATTACACATTGAAGGAAGAATTATCATGCTGAAGATATTGCCTGGAACTTACCAGCCATCCTCCGCCATGTTGAGTCATGTCACAGTAGGCCAGAAATGAACCCTTCCCATCTGACGGATTGATTCGGTAAACTCCGTCCTCAGCTTCGGGAAACTCGTGCAGGATGCTCCTACAATCTGTTCAATATGAAGTGTATCCGGGTTATTTCCGAAACAATGGTAATTTGTGTAATGTCTCATTTATATTATGTCTCTCTCAGTATCAACGTATGTCAATCACATTGAATAGGTTTAGTGTTCTTGGAATCAATCTTTATTAATTTGTATCTTTAAAATCAGCATCGACTCAACATCCTCAACCATTTGCTATTTTAACAATACTTCTTCCCTACTCGATTTCACATCACGTGTATTAAACACATGTACACGTTTGATTGAAACGACTGGTTTGGCGACAGCAGGATCTGATATTCCAAGAACAAGACTTCTTTCCCAAATGGTTTAGCTTTGGTAGGCATTTTAAGTAAAGAAATGTACAAACGTAGGATACTACATCATATGTAGCACGTGTGCGCTCACATAGAAAGCACGGTAGAAAGGTGCATGTTAAGTTCACACGAGATAACATGTGCGCCAACACATAGAAAATACGAACTGAAAATGTATTTTAAGTTTTAGGAACAAGAGAGAGCGGGGAATGGGACGCTTTTCTACGGTTTAATGTGCAGTACGCAAAGATTATGACATTTTGGAGGTGATTGTATCCGAAACAGCCTCAACCAGTTGTTGAAAAGCATGGATATCGGGGTGTCAGAAGACCAAACTAACAAGGCTTCAGAGCCAACAGTGTCAGAGCTTTCTATCCTACTACGTACTCACCACTGCGCATGTCCGTGTTCCCACAGAGTTCATCCCTGGAGGCCAGGAAGTTATCCATGGATGTCTTAAAAGTGTCGTAGGTGTCCAGAACCTGACAGTAGTCGCCGGATATGTTAGCATATCCACACGCAATCCAGCAACACTACACACAGACACAGTCGGAACACCATATTGTTGAACGAGTCTTTTGTCTTTACGGACTGTATGTCATCCAAGTGAATGTGTGCTTGAGTGTGGCGTACTCTATATTTGTAGGCAAACTTCACTGTCAATCAAACTACGCTGCACTTGTAACAGGAATTTGACTAATGCGATGGTAACGCTTGTATTATTCCTATGTTGCATTACATGCCGAGAGGTACTTGTACATTGACATGACAACCATACCAAGTGAGGAGGTCTTCCGCTGTAACTGAAGAAGGGCATCCGCCCGGTCCACTCTGGTATCCTTCTCCTCGTGGCACACGCACTTGTCTACCACTTGTCTAACTATACTTGTCTAACACTTGCATAATCCTTGTCTAACATTTGACAAAATGTTTAAAGGCCGCATGTCGAATTTACAATTCATCAATTAGGTAATTTCTAATCATTGGAATTGAATATATACTATATCTACGCATGTACGTGTTTCAAAAGGACTCTCATGAATTTATGATGTTATACGTTTTGTGTGTGTGCTGTTGTTGCTATTTTGTCAGTGCACATGAATCATGTATTTACGGTTATATGCTCGATTTTAGAATGTTCAGTTCATATCACAACAGAAGGTATAATCTCATCATTTTCACGTTCTCAAATGTCTAAGTCGTAGCTCCATTGCCGACCTAGACTCGTCAGATCGAGCATGGACCGCCTGCGTGGTGTAGTGGTTAGAGCGTCTGCCCGGAGAGCGGAAGGTCGCTAGTTCGATCCACGACCGCGTCATACCAAAAGACGTTAAAATATGGTACCTGTTGGTCCTGCCTGGTGCTCGGCATTAATGGGTACAACAAGGACTGGTCGGCTTGGAGTCAGTATAATGTGTCTGGATGGGGTATTCATGCTTCACTGCGGCATGGTATCTCAGTGGGCTAGCACTATAAAACCAGCTTACGTCTGGGCTAGTACAAGCAGCCGCACATACACAAACACGCGCATGCACGTTGTCATATGAGCGAAATATTCTCAAACACGACGTTAAATCCAATTTCACCTCACCTCACCAGATTGAGCATGCCCTACTGCGACCAACTCCTCAAAATGTTCACCGCTCCGTCTGTCCACACAAAACGGAACTGACGACCGCTGATGTAGATTCAACGCTTATGACGTCATTCCCAGTCAACTATGACGTGGAGTCAGTGATGTGTGACGTCGAGAATGAAGACCAGGAGAAAGACCAAGGTTAAGAATGTACCTACCCCGTGTCGTGACCAGAGCACAACTGGACGGGTCTCGTTTAAAAAACCTGCAGACAGTATTGGTGGCATAAGTGTACAAGCTGATACACATATCAAACCTAGGTGATGCATATGTTCACATATGTGTAGAGAAATGTGAGGTTTCACATGAATTAAATGAAAATGAAAACTCTAAGTGTTTGCAGCCCATTTCACAGCTGAGATGTGTTCTGGGGCCTACCTGTAGACATCAATACTGTTAGGAGTATGTGTTTTTGTTAATTATAATGTCACATTAACTAACTTTTAGTTGTTATGGGACACACAGCGCTGAGTGTGGATTTGAACTCACACCTTGAGCTTAGGCTATGTATATTCACATGTTAAAAGTAAGCTGAGGTCTTACCTCCTCTTTGTTTGTTTTGCTTCCGGTGTTTTCCTTAGGATGCTGTAAGCTATGAGATGATCGTGGTGTGGCATGTTTTTGCTAGAATAATCTAGAACTGTATAACAGGTATATAAGGGATGGTTGCTGAGATATATGAGGGGAAACGACTTTGGATTTGCACTGATCTGTCTGCTAGCATCGACGTTTCAAGACCTACCATTCAAGAGGCCTCGTCTACATTGAATTGTCAAGAGCTGTCAACAAACTTCAATCAGTATATCTACAAGGATCAAGACTTTGGTGACTATAGACATTTACTTAATATTTCAGATTTGTGACCCAATAGTATTGTATTGGAAATGTTCACTGTCATTCATTGTAATCTTGTTTATCTTTTATTCAATGTATAATTGACTATTATAGACCCGTTTGTGTTTTTGGTTTTTAAAGGGGACTCACAAGTCTTTTATCTCAGTACTCTCTTAACCGCAACAGTACATGAAACTTGCAAAACACGTGTAATACCATATAAATAAGAAAACAGCTTGAAATAGGAACCGTCTAAATAATGCTCCTGGATGTCTGCAACAAGGCTTGGTTCGTTCATAATAACAACATACTATTTTGTCCTATTCGTTTGGTCCATAACATCATGCATTATAGGGAAGCAATGCACTTTCTGACTGCAAAATTGTGATTCGAATCCTGGAGCTACAATCAATTATTGTGATGCCTCCTAAAATACTGAACCTTTCCAATACTTCTCAGTTCTGCTTTTATGCCGAGCAATATTCCAGCATCTCGAGTTTTTAATGTTTACATTTCAAAACGTTTAAGGCACAGCAGAGCATGCTACTTCTACAAAGAAGCTACTTTCACATCATTGTAATATATCTCTGTAATTCCTGTTTCACTTTAGTGCATTATCTTCATACGTGTGATATCCCGTTCTAATAGGGTGCAACCTCTTCAGTTAGGTTAATGGAAATCCCAAAGCATCATCATCATCATCACTTACTCTATATCTTTCAGTACATAAGACTGGTACAATTCGGATGTTAAGGCGAACAGTTACAGCTTGACATGGTACACCAATTGAAACCATATAGATAGTATAGCACAAAACTTACTCTATAAAACTCTTTCTGATAACAAAGGATCGCAGACCGCCTTCGTGGTGTAGTGGTTATAGCGTCTGCCCGGAGAGCGGAAGGTCGAGGGTTCGATCCACGACCGCGTCATACCAAAAGACGTTAAAATATGGTACTTGTTGGTCCCTGCCTGGTGCTTGGCATTAATGGGTACAACAAGGACTGGTCGGCTCGGAGTCAGTATAATGTGTCTGAGTGGGGTATTCATGCTTCACTGCGGCATGGTATCTCAGTGGGCTAGCACTATAAAACCAGCTTAAGTCTGGGCTAGTACAAGCAACCGCACATACACATACACATGCATGCACGTAGTCATATGAGCGAAATATTCTCAAGCACGACGTCAAACCCAATTTCACCTCACCTCACTAAGGATCGCATGACACAAGGCCCATGTCAAGGGTCACATACTGAAATCGTGGTATTGACAAGGTATCCATTTTAATGCAATGGTACCAACAGGGCACACATTCGAATTATAGCGTCTGGTATTGGTACACATTCGAACACATTTGAGTGAGTGAGCATGTGTTTACACCTATATAGTGACATTCCAGCAATGTCAGGCTGAGGGACACAAGAAATGGCTTTCAAAGATTTTACACCTCTAATACAAGACGACATGTCAGCGATGCCTGCAAACCTGACTCCCCAGTTGCCACAGTTACCTCTCACAAACAAACAATGGCTCCTAAAATACAGTAAACAAATAGGGATATATCAGAATGTGGGAATGATGGAAAATTTATAGATGATTTATCATTTATGATATTGTAAGTGAACACTTTTTTTCAATGTAGTGTAGAATAATATTTTCCAAATTAGTAATAGACGTTTTATGTAACGAGCTTTGTGGTGCCATTTTGTTTGGAATCACGTTAACGAGCCAGACCAACCAGACCTGTGTACAGTCTAGTTAAACTTGGTGTATTACCTGTTGTAGGTGGGATGTGCCTACTCTGTGACACCGAGTGTGATGATATCGTGAAACAACAACTCTTATACTGCTGCAGTATATTTTCTAAGTGTAATGCACTTAGTAAACGTTTGTTTGACAATATGACCATTGAAAGCTGTATACTGACTGACTGAGTTTAGTTTTACGCCGCTTTTAGCAATATTCCAGCAATATCACGGCGGGGAAAGCTGTATACAATCCGAGGATTGTGATGATAATGAACTCAAGATTACCAACCTTCTAGGTGGAATCACACCACTCTTTGAAAACATGTCACTGAATAAGTGGGATGATAATGAACTCAAGATTACCTCCCTTCTAGGTGGAATCACACCACTCTTTGAAAACATGTCACTGAATGAGAGGGGTGTATTAATTGACATTACAGCAAAAGGCATCAGCTCCTGGAACCTCAAAGCCCTGTTGTATCCGTGAAGCTGAGATTATGACAGAGACTATGCCAGAGACTGTGTTTGACTATGTAAATGTGTTTAATATTAGTTCCTGAGATGTTTTCATATATGTACTCTCCGTCTTAATGGAGGAAATAAAGCACATTCATTCATTCATTCATTCATTCATTCATTCATTCATTCATTCATTCATTCATTCATTCATTCATTCATTCATTCATTCATTCATTCATTCATTCATTCATTCATTCATTCATTCATCCATTCATTCACATGTCAAAACGAAACCCTCTTTGCAATATAATGTCGTTCACTTTATTCGTCTTATGTCTATTGTCACCTCTGACAAAAAACACCTAAATGGTGGAATGTAGACACTGATATCAATAAGTCTAACCAACACTGACAAGAGTCCACATACTTCCTCCTGAAGGTAGATTTTAAAATTAGCCTCAGTATTAGTAGGCAATATCACAAATGTTTGCCTGCATACATTGTATTGCTTTTCAACAATCCATCCGTCTCCTCCTGAAGTTGCTGTAGCTACCCTTCATAGAGTTAGTGAGTATGGTTTTACTCCGCTTTTAGCAATATTCTCGCATTATCACCGTGAAGGACACCAGATATAGGCTTCGGACATTACACCCTTGTGAGCAATCGACACTCTTGGCTCCCCCACTGCCTGTTACAGTTACAGTTACAGAAATAATGTAAAATATCGGCCAAATGCAACTCATCGAGAAATTTCAAATGCAGCTTATCCTTGAATGACGCCACGGATATCGTTTCCAGCTGTTATTTTTAACAGATTGAATAAAAACTGCCTGTTTTCATTTTGTAATTGA